ATTTTTGTAGCATTAAAATTTTGTGTTCTGAGACAATGTCTGTGTTCTAAGGCAATCATCTCAGAACATGGAAATTTTCAAATTGTTTCAGAACCATTGAGACAATTTCTGTGTTCTGAGACAATCATCTCAGAACATGGAAATTTTCAAATTGTCTCAGAACACATACATTTTCTGTCTTCTGAAAAAATTTGAAAATTTCTGTGTTCTGAGACAATTGTCTGAGAACACAGACATTTTTGTAGCATTCAAACTGTAGAGTTGAAAATATTCAGAAAATTTCAAACAGGAATTTTTAATGCTACAAAAAGTGTCTGTGTTCTCAGACAATTGTCTCATAACACATAAATTTTTTCAATGACAAATTTTATGAAATTTCTGTGTTCTCTGACAATTGTCTCAGAACACAGAAATTTTTGCAGCATTAAAAATTTGTACTAAATTCCATGAAATTGTATAAGAATTTCTGTGTTCTCAGAAAATTGTCTCAAAGCACAGAAATGTTTGCAGAATTAAAAATGTGTCATTGAAAACATTTCTGTGTTCTGAGATGATTGTCTCAGAATTTGTCTCATAACACATAAATTTTTTCAATGACAAATTTTATGAAATTTCTGTGTTCTCTGACAATTGTCTCAGAACACAGAAATTTTTGCAGCATTAAAAATTTGTCCTAAATTCTATGAAATTGTATGAGAATTTCTGTGTTCTCAGAAAATTGTCTCAGAACACAGACATTTTTGTAGCATTAAAAATTCCTGTTTGTTATTGTTTAAATATTTTCAACTCTAAATTTTGAATGCAACAAAAATTTCTGTGTTCTCAGACAATTGTTTCAGAACACAGAAAATTTTCAAATTGTCTTTTTCAAATTTTCAAAATTTTTTCTTGAAAAAAAGTTTCTGTCCTCAAAGAAAATTTGTCAGTTGAAAAATTTCTGTGTTCTGATGAGACAATCATCTCAGAACACATAAATTTTCTGTCATCTGAGAAAATTTGAAAATTTCTGTGTTCTGAGACAATTGTCTGAGAACACAGAAAGTTTTGAGCATTCAAAATTTAGAGTTGAAAATATTCAAAAAATTTCAAACAGGAATTTTTAATGCTACAAAAAGTGTCTGTGTTCTGAGACAAATGTCTCAGAACACATGAATTTTTTCAATGACAATTTTTATGAAATTTCTGTGTTCTCTGACAATTGTCTTAGAACACAGAAATTTTTGCAGCATTAAAAATTTGTCATAAAATTCTATGAAATTGTATGAGAAATTTTGTGTTCTCAGACAGTTGTCTCAGAACACAGACATTTTTGTAGCAATGAAAATTCCTTTTTGAAATTTTTTAAATATTTTTAACTCTACATTTTGAATGCTACAAAAATTTCTGTGTTGATTTTTGTGTCTGTGTTAATTTTAATTGCTTAAACATTTTAAATCTACAAAAAGTTTCAAGGAATTAAAATGTCCTGTGCTCTGAGACAATTTGAAAATTTCTCTGTTGAAAAAAAAAAT